GATCACTCCTTGAATTAAAATATATTTTCAAATCTTAGGATAATACGTAAGAGAACTATGTTTGCTTTCGTTGCCCACCCCGAGCGCTCAAGGATCTCACAAAATGCATTCGCTTTGACAGTAACAAACATTAATGTGGAAATTTAGAATCCAAATAGAACTTGTCCGAATGCCCAGCTATGAGTCACAATCTCCGGCTCGTTCACAAGCAGTGAGGCAGTTTCCTGCAGATAAGAGATAAATGGGAGCAAAAAGTGACAGAAACACAGCGGCCAAGAGCTGGGATATCATTCGTTTCCTCTAATTCCTCTGACATGCTAATTACCCATTCCAGTCATATTTGAAACATCATTTTTGGATATCCTCATCAAAATATTCAGTTATCCTCTGTACAATCCTGCAACTATCTCGTAGGCTTTAATCATTCTTTAATCAACTAAGAATTTTTTAAAAGCTGCAACCATAGAGGCATCATTCTGTGAAACATGTCGAAACAAAACCAAAAAGAGAGTCATTTAAGGAACCTGATGTTCAAGCATACTTCTGATAGAGCAAGGATGGCCACAAGGTAGTTATGGTTTTATAGCAATACTGGGGTTGGTGAAATATTGTGGTGAAACAAAATCTGGGGTTCTACATTTTGGCCATACTTCCATCACCAATGGGGACACACTAAACTAGCACGAAGGACCTACTATTGAACCACTGACTTAGAATATGAAAAAAAAAATATTCAAATTTTTATCTTATTTTTTATTTTTTTATTTTTAGCATGATGTTACTAAAATTATTTTAAATGCCACATAGCTCCGTAAAACAAATACAAGCAAAAATGTAACACAAGCTAGGCGTACAGTTTCCAAGATTTCAATGGAAAACTCAGGCATGTGCAGTCAAGCCCACAGCTTTCATTCCGTCTCACAAGTATTTTTCATACAATGTTTCAAGTCATCTAAAAGTCCTGAGAGATCCTGGGTGCATCTCCACTAGCCAAAATTACAAAGCACTGTGCATGCACACATATGATGTCACTAGTTTTCCTGTTGAAATGTATACAAATATACTGGTTTGGAATATCTATCCAGTTCCGCCATGACTTCCAATACACTGTCAACAAGGTCTATCCCTCAAAATCTTTATCACCACGGACATTCCCAATTTCTGATGTACTTCCTCTCTTGTGTATTATTCTTGTCCCACATATATTTGGAAAATATATTCTTCATTTAAATAAAGATTTGCAAACAATAAATAATTATTTAAATGTAGAAATCCACAGCAATGTTTTTAGCTTTGTCCTGGAACTAAGCACCCCTGTCTGGTTCCCTGTAAATCATTGTTTTAAACTCTGCCCTTTATATCTCTTGGTTAGCATACAGACAATCATTCTGTTTCCCCTCCTCCAATAGATTGTGTGCCTTGCCTGTGCCAGGACTGAACTGGATTGTGATGTAACTTGATAAATCTTTAATATATATTTAATAGAAAACTGAACTTCATATGAAATTAGGATACTGGTCATTTTCAGGGTTTTATTCACTTGACTACTGTCATTTCCAGAGAAGTGACCTAAATGTTTGTAAATCCAACCCAAGAATGTTCCATATACTTTTTTTTAATATGTGTTTTTTAATGTACTTCTGTAAGGTTGTGTTTTTAGCACAATAAAGCCATTAATAAAAAAAATGGCTAAAACAATGAATGATCACCAGCCATTTTTAATACTTAGGGCAGGGTTAGGCAACGTTCGGAACTCCAGATGGTCTAGACTACATCTCTCATAATGCTGGCAAAGTATCAGGGAACGCCGAAGGTTGCCTGCTGTCTTAGGAGTTTATTCATGAAACTCCAAACAAAATTTAGGTTAAAATACAGCTAAGCAGGGAAATATAGCCGACTTGGAGAACTTCTTCAAATCGGCAAATTTTGTAGTTTGGAATTCAAGTCATCATAATTCGGTTATGCATTTCTGCATTTTATGTAAAAAATACAATGTGACCTATAGAGGTATTAAGCATTGTGAGCGGCAATATAGGGATCAGACCCCAATTAATAATGTAGAGCAGAGATTTTAGAGATAGGGACAGATGAACCAGTATTCCTCCAGAATTCTATCGTGGCATATCAACGTTGTACAAACAGGATACCCCGAACTATGCAAAGTAACCTAAAAAAAAGCTCTCTTACCTTACCTTTGTATCATGCATGAAAGTTGTCAAGATATTTGGTGTGTCCGTTAAAATATGTGTATTGTTTGAAATGGAAAATTCGCAAATCTGGTAATCCATTTCATGAATAAATACAATGTAATCCTTTAATACTACCATAGATGACAATCTTTTTTTGTACTTAGTTGACAAACTGGTAAAGTGGTTTCACTGATATGAGATATTGTTTATACTTTTGTTGCGCACCCGACCAATCAGCAGGCAGGAAGCTGCTGCCTTAAAGTCACAGTAAAAAAACAAAACAAAAGACACAGTTGGGAATTTTAAACATTTCAGTTAAACCACTTTTGGGTTTCTTTTATTTACATTCATATTTCTCTCTTATAGATACCTGATACCAAGTTGTTTTTACCTACAAAAAAAATTAGTTTAAAAATATCACTTGCTCTAATTTAAGGGTTTTGCTTCCACAATATTTTTCTGTAGTGGCCAATATTTATAGACGTACAAAATATTTCTGTACTGCTTTTGTTAACTGAGCCGAGACTTGTTGATATTAAAGGGGAACCATCACTTATTTGACGATTACTCTGTTGAATGAACCACTTAAAATGAATGTCAATTTTTGTAACCCATTTTTAATGTGATGCTTTGTTTTCTATCATAGGAACTCCAGGCACTTATAGACGGTTATTCACGATATTTGGATCACAGATCAAGTGAGTAAAAAGTAATATATAGAAGTAAAAATAGGAGGAGCCGGGGAAAAAAATCTATATTTATATTTTATATTTATTTAATATATATAATATACAAATATAAATTATTGTACTGCTTCTCCTTTTCCCCTTTATTGGCCACTTCTCACTTGATCTGTTAATAAAATCAATATTAGTGACTCTCAACTAATCAGGAAGCATCTTTTTTCTCAATAATAAATAATCGGACGGATGGAACTCTGAATCACGAACACACATTCACATCTATTTGTTCATGATGCGTCCATATGGTACTTCGGAGTTATAGAATTAGGACAACTTTGCTGATCTCTCAAAATTAGGACGAATCCTAGTTTGTTTGAAACCGAATGCACAAGTCTAATGCTGAGAGACATTCTATTGGTCCCCATGGGGACTGCTCGGTTTCATCTTGACGAATGTCCCTCCTCATGTCTAAGTTTATGCGTTGTCACCAGGACCGAAATTTTCATTAGGCCGAGTAGGCGACCTCCAATAGGAGCATGGCTGATGGGGCTCCTACTCTACCTGTTTACAGCTCTCTCCCTACCTTTCACGACTGCCATTGGGGAATACAGCAAATATATCTGTAAAAAGTAGTGATGTCCCGAACGGTTCGCCACGGACGTCGAACATATGCGCTGTTCGGTCCGCCCCCTATGTCATCATTGAGTAAACTTTGACCCTGTACCTCACAGTCAGCAGACACATTCCAGCCAATCAGCAGCAGACCCTCCTTCCCAAACCCTCCCACCTCCTGGTCCTATATTCCCAATGTGTATACACACCAGCTGGTCACTAGGCCATTGCTGTCTTGTAAAGAGAATGTAAAGAGAATGCAGAAGGAGCCTTACAACTTCCACCTTCAGCAGGTCCTCTCCAATTCTCGCAAGCTCTGGCTGTCAGAGCATTGCCACGGGCTACTATGGCAACATTCCGAGGCTGCACAATGTTGGGGCTTACATAAGAGTGAGAGGATCTGCTGGAGGTAGAAGTTGGAGTCTCCCGGGCCTACCCTTCAATATACACAGAGAGAAGGGAGAGCAAGCTTTCCCGTTGTGAAGAAACCTACCTCTGGTGGGACTTGAACCCCTGTTCTGGGCTGCCACAGTCATGTGTGCTAGGGGTGTTACTATTTCAAATATCTCTGTATATTTCAAATATCTCTGTATATGCAAAGTTACCACCATTCAGTTGTAAACGCTGAATTGGTTGGAGTAACCCTTTAAAAAGTTCCCAAAAGAACACAGCCCCTATACTATCCCACAAATCCACCCACTCTGCATTTATTGTACATCCACAACACACGCACTCTGCGACCCCGATATAAACACCCTTTATACACTACACTACCCACACTGCCCTGAGGGCTCAGGCCTTGAGCTGTGAGAGGTACCTGAAAGATTTTTGCATGGCCCAGTCCCCACACTTGAACACATGATCCATCCCCTGGATGGAGAAGGAAGAGGGCCAGAATGGCAAACACTGCTAGCCATATTGCAGCCCACACTATTATACACAAACACTGTTTTTCACATTGCTGCCCACACTACTACACAAACAAACTGCTGTATATACACACTACTATGAATGTTATTGCCCACACTGTTACATACACACACTTTACACAAACGCACATACACACATACACAGGAATACATGCACTCAGACATTTAAACCCACAGCTCTCATAATTAAACTGTCAAGTTTTTTTTTTTGGAAGGGGAGGGGGTATGTTTCCCTTTAAATCTGATGTCAGCTTTTAACCATACCTTGTTCCCACAATAACATCTGATAGGAGCTTTAAACATATTATTATTAAACACAAACAATAGTTGATGGTTAAAATTTAGCCGGGGTGAGATGGGTTTCTCAGATGTTAAAAACTGGAATCTCAACTTTAAACTAAACTAAATAATAGGATGCCTTTTATACTTTACAGAATTATTGGCCGTTTTCAGAAAATCCAAGTGGAATGCAGTAAGAAGCAAGCTGCGGGTTCCATGGAAACATTGTGTATAGACATCTGTTTCTGCAGCTGACTCGCTCTCATTGAGCCAAATGTACATCTCAAGGAGGCCTAGCGGAAATTTGCCTTTTCTTGTCCTGAGAACTCCATCAGGCCAGGGCTATTTCTGGGGGGCCGTAGGATGAGTGTGGGTGGTGTGCTACTATCAACGTCCGAAGGATGGAATAATCAAACTCTCAAGCTCAAATTTAGCCTTGCAAAGATAGTGTCACTTTCTGGTGCAGAATAGACTTGTGGTAAAATAAAGAATCCGCTGTCTTCTATCTATTAAGGAAAAGGTCTACATTCGCAGGAACAAAGTGTGTCCTTACAGCTAATTCACATGCATATACACTATTTATGTAATATGTCTATATAGATGTATCTGTCTCAATCAAAGTATTTGTATCGAATGTATCTCTCCATATGTATAGATATTTAACTGTTTAACCTCAATATTGTAAGCTTGTTAGCGAATGGTTCTTTTGCCGAATTGTTCATGTTTTTATTTTCATTTATTTATCTTTTCAAATATTTCTTATTGAATTTTTAATAGTTACATGACACTATCGTGAACAATTAGTGCAATACAATATAAAATGTTAATATGATAAAAAAAGATGGGGGGGTGGGGCCGAATAGTTGAGCTGCATGAAGGCCATCTTGCACAGCTCCAGTTATGAGCCCCTGAAATATGCCAAAATGCCCCTCAGCAAGCGCTTATAAGTAAGCTTTCTTTCCGGAGTTGGGGGGAGGACACTTGATACCCTTTGAAGCTGCTTATGTAGCTCAGCAAGCAGATGCCACCATCTCAGGCCTACTTCAAACCGAGAACCTCAGTGGGGCCCAAGACGAAAACTATAAGCCTAATGCCTGATCCTGGAGAAGAGAGATAACACGGCAGACAGATTTGGGTTCCACCAGAGGTGAATCAATGCATGGATGTCCCAACTATTTCCATCAGCAGCCCCGCTCCCTCCCCGCCGGCCTGTGGGGGTTATCCTGGCCTATTAGATGCTGTAATGTTAAAGTACCCAATCCTGATTGTGCTCCAGACAGGGCGAAAAGCCTCCGGATTGCTCCAGCTGATACCCTACATTTCGGATGACAGGGGCTTGGTGGTCCCTGCTCACTCAATCAGAGACATACTCCCCTAACGCTTAGAAGCCATGGGGGACTGTTGGTTCGTCTGGATCCTCGAGCTACTCACCTGCTGCCTGTAAGGAACCTCTACCTCTTGGTTTTGAAGGGGGCCTGAAGGGTCCCCATCACTGTGAGCCCTGCTGGGGCGGGTTTTTGGACCCGCAGCAGCCCGGTAGCTGCGGGGCTGGATGCTTCTTGCCCTGGATGAGTGGCCGGTGAGACGTGAGACGTGTGGAGCCTGCTAATGCGGTGGAGATGCAGGAGATGGCCGGTCTGTGGACTCCGAGGCGGGGGCACATAGACTGGCGGAGACTCCAAGTACCCGCTGTGCCGCGGGATTCCGATGGGGAAGCACTGATTGGCGGGGGGAGTTTGGTGGATCCAAGTCCTCATGGGCCTACGCATTGAACTTAATGTATGTTTCTCTGGCGGCTTGGTATTGACCCTCTGCCCTTTGCAGATCGTCCAAAGTTGATCTTTTCTTAATGATTCCACAGTTTGCCCACAAGACTAATCTCTTATATCCCAGACTGCAATGTTGTGTTTGACACATAGACGTGTTTGCTAAGAAATCCATTCCTGCATTATTGCATAGTTAGTCATGTGGGGCCAGTCTGTTTAGCTATAAGCCTTATGCCTAGTATAATTAATTCACAGTTAAACCACTGTCTACCCTTTTGCTGTATCTGCAGCATGACATTGCATAGTCTAACCTACTAAGTTCTTAGTAAATTAAAATAGCTTACTCTTGCAACAGTTAACTCCTGATCATTAACCCTTTAAAAAAATGTGCAAGTTATTTCAAATGTCCTCTATGCTTTTATATGCTCTGTAAGTTCTCCTGCTTGTTATCTGCTTTTGGGGCATGACAAGCGTGTCTGTAACAATATGCACAGCAAAAATAAAGAATTTAATATATATATATATATATATATATATATATATATATATCAATTAAGCAATATTGACAATTTAAAAAATAAATAAAAAAAAATAGAAAATAGAGGGGAAAAGGGGAAGGTAGGGTATGTATATAGATGGAGCTTAATATTAAAAATTGAGATAATCATGTATAATATCTTATTCTAAATAAAATAAAAAATTAAAAAATAACAGAAACATGTTACACATCAAAAAAAAAAAAAAGTAAATAATTAATAAATAAAAATGTTTTAAGTTATTTTATTTATCACTATTCTGCGGTTCCGTTCTATTATTCTGTTGTTCTAGCCTGTTATTTTAATATCTCCATAGTACAGCACTGTAGAATATGTTGGCACTATATAAATAACGATAACAATAAAAATAAGAAAATGTCTTTATCTGCCTATTCCTAACTATCCATTTCTATCTCTTCATCTCGAGAGAACTGTATTTAATTATCCATGTTTATCTCTCTATATCTAACTATCTGTGTCTATCTACCCATATCTATCTGTTCATATCTTTTTAATTGAATGTAATTATCCATATCCATCTGTCATTATCTATGTATTTATAACTATCATTCTGTACATACTTGCATGTATTTTTTTGTATTTTTCCAACTATATGTATAAGCATGTATCCATCATCTATATATTGACTGTCTGTGGGTCTGCCTCTCTATCTGCTAGTTAGTTATCTACCTCTCTGCTTCTATCTATCTGAATCTAGCTAATAATATTAATACTTACAGGGTAAGTCTTACTAAAGTTAGATTTCAAAGTGTATTTCAAATTTAAGGCCACAAAATAGCCACATTGAATACATTCTCCCAGTCAACTATGTTGGCCTTAACTTTGAAAATCACTTTCAATTCACTTTTAATTCATGACAATTCTTACTTAGGAGAATAACTCCTCGTGTTAATTATATAGCGCCAACATATTCCATGGCGCTTTACAATATTATAAGAGGAGGAGATTTAACAATAAATGAGACTATTAACAAATGTTACAGGAACAATAGGTTGAGGAGAACCCTGATCAAACGAGCTTACTGTCTAGAGGAGGTTCATATCTATAGATTCCATTTTATCGATTCACTTCTATCTACCTGTGTCAAGCTATCAGAACCTAACCTATATTCATATCGATTTCCTGATCAGCCCTTATTTACAAGTATGTATCTATATGTCTCTATCTATTGATATCTATCCATATTTAAAGTTATTGCATTTATTTGTCTTTCCATCTAAATGGACTAGTCTGTGTGTAGACATAAAACAAATATTGATTATGTGTAAGAAGACTTGTGTTGCCCCATCTGTAATTATGTTGTTGACGAGTTACGGTTAATGACACTGAATGCTAACCTAATCAATTAAGATCACGGTTAATTGGAAGATAATTAGTTATTCAGAGGCACTAGGCTGGATAAAAGCAATAAGCAGTGGATCTTTCGTTTATTCCCAACATGAGATTTTAAGACGTTGTCCCTACGATTGTCACCAGTCCGGATATATCCCACCACACAGCTGCTCTGTCGAGGCAATCCTTTTAGCCCTTAATTAATTCAAAGTTGGTGAAACAGGCTGAGTATTGGAAATCTAAATTGGATAAATGTCACATTAACTCTAAAGTTACCAATCCAAAGTTTTACAAGGTTACACCAAACAACAAAAATACCTTTTGGGTTAGAGTAACCTTTGCTGAGCTAGTTAACCCCAAACGTAAAACAAATACAAAAAGTAAAGCTAAAATGTATGTTTTTCAGCGCCAGGGCCAAGTTCTCTCTTAAAATATGGATAACTCATCTTTGACGGATTGTTATTGCCAAAATGTGCAAAAATTGCCTTGCTTCTCCCCCCCGCCACAATGTGTCTCCTCTCCAGCCCTTCCATGTGTCGCACCCCCATGTATCTCATTTCCCCAGCCGCTCCATGTGTCTCATTACCTTTCCCCCTGCCCCTCCATGTGTCACATTCCCTCCTCCCCCCAGCCCTTCCATGTGTCCCATTTTCTCCACCCAGCCCCTCCATGTGCCTCTCCCCCTCCCCTCCTGTACCTGCTCACCACCGCGGTACCCATCTGACAGGAAGTACTCTCTCAGTGAGCACTTCCTGACACCTGCAATACGCTTGGCTGAAGTTATGGTGGCTCACAGTCGCAGGTATCGCAGCTGCAGCCGTGCCCCCTGGAGTGCTGGGCCCAGTTGCAACTGAAACCCCTGAGACCATGGTAGTTACGCCACTGTATTCAAGGCAACGTCCTTTTCACCAGTTTGATAATGGCATAATTGGCAGCCATTAACATATTGATATACATCAGGTATGAGATTATAATTACCTACAGTCGCTTTACAATGGGTGGACGAACAGACATGTAGTTGTAACCAGACAACTTGGACACACAGGAACAGACGAGTTGGGGCCCTGCTCAATGTGCTTACATGCTAGAGGGAGTGGGGTAACATGACACAAAAGGTAAGGATAGTATTAGACTAGTGACAGTTGCAAGAGAGGAATCAGTCAGGAGCTATTAACAGTTTAATTGATACGCTTTTATGAAGAAGTGGGTCTTTAACGATTTTTTGAAGGAGTGGAGACTGGGTCAGCATCTAATGGAGGAGGGAAGCAAGTTCCACAGTTAGCAGTTGGTGGTTAGGGGTTTGTGTTAGCAGTAAAGATTAGAAGTTGGAAGATAGGAAGGATTAAAGTCAGTTTGGGGTTAGTAGTTGAAGTTAGCAGTTTGTGGTTAAGAGTTTGGTTAGAAGTTCAGATTAGGAGTTGGGTTAGTAGCTGAAGTTATGAGTTGGTGGTTAGGAGTTTGAAGATAGGAAGAATCAGAGTCAGGTTTGGATTAGTAGTTGAAGTTAGCAGTTTGTGGTCAGGAGTTTGGTTTGCAGTTCAAATTAGAAGTTGGATTAGTAATTAAAGTTAGCAGTTTGTGGTTAGGAGTTTGGTTAGCAGTTCAGATTAGAAGTTGGGTTAGTAGTATTAGTTAGCAGTTTGTGGTTAGGAGTTTGGTTAGCAGTTTCGATTAGAAGTTGGGTTAGTAGTATTAGTTAACAGTTTGTGGTTAGGAGTTTGGTTAGAAGTTCAGATTAGGAGTTGGGTTAGTAGTATTAGTTAGCAGTTTGTGGTTAGGAGTTTGGTTAGCAGTTTAGATTAGAAGTTGGGTTAGTAGTATTAGTTAGCAGTTTGTGGTTAGGAGTTTGGTTAGCAGTTCAGATTAGAAGTTGGGTTAGTAGTATTAGTTAGCAGTTTGTGGTTAGGAGTTTGGTTAGCAGTTTCGATTAGAAGTTGGGTTAGTAATTAAAGTTAGCAGTTTGTGGTTAGGAGTTTGGTTAGAAGTTCAGATTAGGAGTTGGGTTAGTAGTATTAGTTAGCAGTTTGTGGTTAGGAGTTTGGTTAGCAGTTTAGATTAGAAGTTGGGTTAGTAGTATTAGTTAGCAGTTTGTGGTTAGGAGTTTGGTTAGCAGTTTCGATTAGAAGTTGGGTTAGTAATTAAAGTTAGCAGTTTGTGGTTAGGAGTTTGGTTAGCAGTACAGATTAGAAGTTGGGTTAGTAGTATTAGTTAGCAGTTTGTGGTTAGGAGTTTGGTTAGCAGTTTCGATTAGAAGTTGGGTTAGTAATTAAAGTTAGCAGTTTGTGGTTAGGAGTTTGGTTAGAAGTTCAGATTAGAAGTTGGGTTAGTAGTATTAGTTAGCAGTTTGTGGTTAGGAGTTTGGTTAGAAGTTCAGATTAGAAGTTGGGTTAGTAGTATTAGTTAGCAGTTTGTGGTTAGGAGTTTGGTTAGCAGTTTCGATTAGAAGTTGGGTTAGTAGTATTAGTTAGCAGTTTGTGGTTAGGAGTTTGGTTAGAAGTTCAGACTAGAAGTTGGGTTAGTAGTATTAGTTAGCAGTTTGTGGTTAGGAGTTTGGTTAGAAGTTCAGATTAGGAGTTGGGTTAGTAGTTGAAGTTATGAGTTGGTGGTAAGGCGTTTGAATTAGTGTACAAGTTGACACAGACTTTTCAAACTCACTTTTGTAACTAGTGTTAGAAATGGCACTCAGAAATCAAATACATTAACTCCAGCCTTTCAGGACATAAACAAAAACAGCAACACGCATAAGAATCCCTCATTACAGGAAACCATTTTCCTGCTCATTGACATGTGCTGTTTATTTTGCTGTTTGGCTCAGCGTGTAATGATGAGTCTGTTAGATTAAAGGAGTAAACATACAATATTGAATGCTAGAGGTCTGTGATGTATACCGTATCCCAGCTTGATTTAATCACATCCATGATTGGCTCACCAAATTCCTGGTTTATTGCAGTCCTTCATTTAAAACATATAGCATTCCCCTTA